TCTAACTACAAAAAGTTACTGAACATAATTGCCCTAAATTCATTTAAGATGTCCTTCGTTCGTACGGTGCTTGAATTAATACTCGATTAATTACTTAGATCCATCATTGTTGGTGTCCATATTTTAACCTAAGGTTGCTTAGAATATTACTTCGGCTGCTATAGAAAATATATCCTCGGAAAAAATCAATTACAATTATAATTACTGTATTATAGTTATACGAGGCTTAAAATATATAAAATAGTTTACCATGACGTAATAAACAATTTTCTTTGCAGCTGATGATTTACAGAAAACGAGTGATGCTGAGTACGGAAAACATTAAATTGAAATGGCTAAGTTGTCGGTCCGTCACTGGTTGAATAGCCTGGTAGTCTATGCAGCTGGGGCGGATACATATACAGCTAGGCTATTCAGCCGTGAACCCATAAACATATCAGATTATATTTACTGTATGTAGTTAAGTAGGAAGCAAAATTATAATGTATGGAGACTAGCCTTTATTAAAATCAGGATATATTAATAATAATGGATGATCAAGTGTATTTGAAAAGAAAAGTCATCCAAATATTTCACAGACAAATATAATAATATGTAATACGTATTGATGTATATATGTAAACTAAAATTTTAAGTAAAAAAAGACAACAACATTAACAACTGTATAATTTATCTGTAACTAGAGCTACGTACTCTGATGTTTTTTAGTGGTTTTAAGTATAACCATTTTGATGTTTTATAAATTACTTTCTTTTATAAATGTACGCTCTTGGTTATGTCCAAATACCTCAGCCTGGACAGAGGTATGTGTGTGATTGATTTGACATTTCTGTAAGGTATCATTGCAGAAGTTTTTCATTTGAAGTCTTTGAAGTATACCTGTGTTATAAATATTCACAGCTATATAAGTATTGCTAGTAACATTCACATCCGGTCACGGCAAACTTTTTCGGAGGGAGAATTGTGAACTCTTGGAACAATCGGCCAGGTTTTTTTTTTTTTTTTACGGGATTAGCCCACCCAAGCACAGGTCACTGACCCACATCAGGGCCTGGGGGGAGAAAATATAATAATAATAATAATAATAATAATAATAAATACAAAATCGAAAAAAATAAACCAAGAGTGAGGAACGATATACAGTACAGTACACTGAGTACAGTATACAGTATATATTGTGTTGTCGATAGTAAGAGAAACAATTAAGACTGCAATTGTGTGTAAATGAAGCAGAAAGTGAGATCAACAACCTGGGACTTGGTCACAATTTTTGTGATACCATATGGTAGCAGGGTCTACCATTAGACTAACACATTATGACGGCACCAAGTGTGAGCTCTATCAAGACGCAGAGATGACTGTCAGGATTGTTATGTCATCTTTTAAATTGTTTCCTTGCTTGTTTGGGGGCGTCTGTCCGTTTGTTTCAATTTGAAGAGTTGAATCGTAAGATTAGGGTCATAACGGGTGAATGTGTTAGAGAGCATTCGAGCTTACTGTACTATTAGTAAGTGTTCGAGCCTGCAAGCGAGCATGGGTGGTGGTTTTAATCGAGTGTGTTCGAGACTGGTAAAAGAAAGTGTTCGAGACTGGTAAGTGAGCTTGTGTCTGGGACGTCAGTCAATTGACTCTATACTTTCTCATAGCGGAAGGTCGGTTTCCTCCTCCTTCTTTATCTGACGTGGAGGAAAACAATGAAGTTGAATACATGAACATATCCAGATATCTTTTGATTAGGAAGCACCCCCTTGATTTAAGAAAGGTATATACGGAATACCCTGCCTTTATATATATATATATATATATATATATATATATATATATATATATATATATATATATATATATATATATATATATATATATATACACCACGGTAAATAGGGATAATTACGAGATAAAGCTATTATATACACTTGGGACGACCATGTAGTACAGTAATCATAATGCACACCACATGTGTATAGCATCACTACTAATCTAACTTAACCTAACCATTCATTTCCCAAATTTTCCTCTCTTTACCTAATTTAGTTATAGTTTGATAACATTTTGATGGTAAACGACGTCATAGATTAGATACAACTTGAAAGGTTTTAACACTGAACAGCCAGCGGACGACCCACTTGCCTGCCAGGGAACCCAGTCCTCCACTTCAGCTGGGAATCGAATCCGCGACCCTCTGATTAATAAGTGAAAGGGAACTTGACAATTCGCGTCTTTCTGTGCACACTTAAATTTTGCCCAAATTATTATCTCCTTTAAATATTAAAATTGAAAGTGAGCCCCATCAGATTGACAGCCCGTTAGGGGTAGTGTAGATACAACACACTGAATATTAATGCTCGAGTTCGGTTCCTGAGAAGGTCTTTTAACAACTAAGTTAGTAAATACACTAGTTATCACCAATTAAAGGATAAGAGAGATACAGCTGCGTGTCAGGATATTCGCTAAGTTTACCAGCGTTAATGATGACGCATATTGGCTAGACTGTCGAGCACTTCCCCAAAATAGCTGCTTCTGGCGTTTGTATACGATTTTTTTGTTATTTAAAGAAAATAAAGTTGAGGGAATTTACCGACTGGTGTATTGTTACATAACAAAATAATGTAAGTGGATCTTATATTTTGTACGATGCTAAAAAAACAAAACATTGAAAAGTTATCTCCAAATCTTCCCCCACGATACTTCTCATGAACATGGTTAGGTTATTGACAAACGACGTAAAGATGTGTAAAATTTGCATTTGCATGATCACTGATCTGTTTACACACACAAACACAGGTTTTAATCCAGTCTGTCGTATGTGTTATTTGCTTCTGAAAACAACAGATTTACTCTAAAACTAATGCATACGAGTTAGAGTACGACGCTGTACTATATGCTGACCCTAGATTCAATTTACAATTTACAACACGTCAGAAATCATGGATATAAGACATGTAGAATAAAAACTATTAAGAATACAGCATTGTTTTTTGCACCGTTATCTCCTTCAACACATCACGAAATCTGGTGTCCATTTTGCCGTGGCTGCAGCTATGAGGAATGTACAGGGTATCCGGAAGTCTGGACTCAAATAAAAATAAAAATTTTGTTCTTAAAGGTTAAACAAACACAATTGTCGGTTTTACAAATAGCAGGAAATATAATACTCTTTGTCTATCAGTCAATAGAACATGGAACTGGTGTTGCTATATGTTTCCAGGAAAGTCAGTGGGAGGGTACTAGTTATTTCATGATAAACACCTGTATATGTTTATGAAAATTCTTAACCTCTTAAACGACGGGAATGTGTGGCAGGTTTGCAAGGGAGCGCGTGTGTAATTGCAAGAAGGCGTGCCAGTATATTCTTCACATATGGGGATGATATATATAACGTCTTAGCAGTCAAACTCGTGCGCCAAGTATGGTAGAGCGAACACGGAAACTCTTTCAGAAAAAACAAATCCATCTGACCAGAAGACTTCATGTTTTACCAATGCCCAAGTCAACGAGCCCGCAACATTTAAATGAGTTACATCCCAATGATATTTCCCAGCCTAATCAGTGGGGGTTTTGTATTTGACTGGGCTTATGCCGACATTGCAGGTACCCTAGATCCTTACAAAATCCGGCAACATGAAAACCTCCACCACTCGCAGGTCTTGTCGTCTTTCTTTATTTCATCTACCGCATCCGAGAGAAACTATCTTCCAACATCTTCCTTTGTATCAAGTCCCTTGGGGGTCCAATGGCGATTCTAGGGATTTTATTTCTTGAGTGGGAGGGGGGGGGGGCAAAGGCTTAGACATTTCCGCAATTTGTGTGACTGAAGGAGCACTCAGGCACCAAGCAAAGCCTAGAGTAGGTTGTAGTCATGCCTCAAAAGTGTGCTTCCCTACTTTCACTATTTCCCTACCTACATTATGCTTCCTTACCTTCACTGTGTTTCCCTACCTTCAGTATGCTTCCCTTTCTTCATTGTATTTTACTCCTTTTAATGTGCTAGTTTGGTTCCCTACCTTCATTGTGCTTACCTTCCTTCATTGTGTTTCCCAGCCTTCAATGTGCTTCCCTTGTTTCACTTTATTATATTTTAATGTTATTACTATTGTTATTGTACCCTCTGGCTGTAGGGTAGTCACGTCCCATACTCCACCATCTACATGGAGTGGCACCACAACAACTGAGGTACACTCTTACCAATGTTATTTTTTTAACATGATGAACAGTTGAATGGTTATAATGAGTGTTAAACGGGTAAGGTAAGCACTTGACACCTTCATACCTGTCACATTTATTAATCAACAGCTCTGTGTTTTTTATATTTAGATAGAAATAAAACAACAATCGCGCATACGGTAAAACTCTGTGAACTTACTACCAACACAGTTTTACATTTAAAAGTGGCATATATATATGCTTCCCAGTTTGTCCTACATAATTCCCATTACAATTGCAACATGGAATGCAGTAAACACTTCCATTTACATTCAAGGTTGGGCTATTCTTGATTAATATATTAGTAATAGTTGAGTCATATATGTACATGAAATATATATATATATATATATATATATATATATATATCTTGATAAAATCACACGGGAAAATGGAAACAACGGAGTACCTTAGCTTTCGTCTTTATTCAAGACATCTTCAGAGGCAACTGGATTACATGGACAGAGAGAGGCTTAAATATACAGGGTGACCTAAAAACATGAGGTCAGGTCATAATGATGACATCCACTAATCCCCACACCAACACACACGTAGAGGAGCTTAAGAGAAGGGTGGTGACGTGACTAGCCAGGTCAGGTCAGAAAAAAGGACCCACAAAATAACTATCATACATCTAGATCAAAGGTTTTCAAAGCATTTTTAACCTTGGGCCACTGACAAATAAATTTATGTAACATATCAGTTTTGAACTGACCATCACTAAGGTTTATTGATTTTAATTCCTTAATCAAACTAGCTTCAACCAGAAGTCTTTCTGTGACACAAGGTGATTTGAATACTTCTAAGCTTTTTTCCCAAGCAATGGGGTGATTATTATTCCTAACATGAACGAACAAGGCACTGCTTTCAGTGAATTTTTTATGCTTCAAGATGTTGAAGTTTTAAAAACATAATAATAACAACACTGTTACTGGCGTCTGAGACAGATTCAGGCGCCCGTTACTAGTGATGAGGGTGGGGCTACGAGGTGAAGAAGGCACCGTTCGGGTTCCTGGCGTAGCCCGGGGCAGCCTTTGGCATCGTGAGGGTATGTGTAGGGCGAGGTGTGTACAGCAGCGAGGTGACCAAGGAATCCCGTGTCCTCACTCGCACCACCCGAGGCCTCACACCCACCACGCTTGAACCTGTAACACAACACACTCTTAGAATGGATAAACAAGTCAGGCCTATAAAAAATCGTACGTATAGAGGAGTAACACAGAAGAAGTTAAATGTTATGTGCCTTGTTTCTCTTATCTCGTTATGCTTAAAATAATACCCCAGTGTTAACATGGGGCGTCTCCTGGCACTAAACCAGTTATGAGTATAAATTAAGAGGTAATGAAAGCTATTTCCTAGTAAATGAGAACAATATGTGCTGGCAAAACAACTGGTGATGACGGTGAGCAATAGAGGCATAGCGTGAGAGGGCCAGGCTCGCGCTAGAAAACTTGTCTCACGGGTTCACAATGAAGAAAGACGTTCATAGAGCTGACTAACACATCTAAAACCTCTATATATATAACACAGCATGATCAGTGTTGTATCAGAGGTGACCAGGAAAGTTAGTTATTTTAGAATATTTCGTGTGGGCAGGAACTGTCTGGTTGTGTGTTCTGATTTTATTAAATTGAATTAATCTGAAATGGATTTTTTTATGTTTCTCATGAATATAAATATATTCATTACGAAATGCATGATTATGGTGAAGAAGCTTAAGATGTGAAGAGGCATAATAAAAATGGCACGTTTGTGATATTAACACAATATTATTTACGTACTGTAAAAATGACTCGCTCAGTGAGTATTTTTTTAAATAATGACAGACTCGGATGTGTTGAGGAAGAATGAAAAGGGTCTCAGCGCCTATTCTTGGCCATGTTGTGTGAATACCAGTAAATCACAGTGTTGCTCTGACGTATGCTTGGGGGGCGCTGTGCTCCACCTTACCTACCTTGTAATAAAATCTCAATTTACCCTTCTGAGGTGGAACAATCACAACAGTTACCCCTAGAACGAGATTCACAGGGCTTGTAATTGGGACTTCTACTTTTAATTTACGTAATGGGTTTTCTAGTGGCCTTAAAGTGATGTAATTTTGAAGGGGAAGTCTTGCGTGCAAACACTACCCTGTATTAACCCAGACATTAAGTTCTGTTCCAAACACACTAAACAGTAGTCAGTGTTATGGTGTATAATCTTGTTTGGTTTGTTATATACTTGTAGTACGAGCATAAGAGTTAGAGATGACCATGGTGGATGAACCGTCATGTGTGGTGTATAAAATATTGAGAGACAAAGGGGTTGGCGCGGTGGCTTACCTAATTACTGTCATTAAATAATTGACCTCAGTCACGTATTGCGAGGGAAGTGCAGGTGGAGGAGGAGCTATGGGGATAAAGAGCACGATAGTAGATAGGAAGAGAAGGAGGTGAAGTAAGCTAATAATCTTCGTTAGGTGAGCGTGGTTAATCTTTAGGTGAAATAAGCTGGGGTGTCTAATCTTCAGGTGATCTTAAAATTCCTCCCTCAGCTTAAAAGGTAAACACAGGAAGGCCCAGAATAACTCCTTAGAACAGAGTAATTGACCCATTGAGTGTGTGTGTGTGTGTGTGTGTGTGTGTGTGTGTGTGTGTGTGTGTGTGTATTCCCTGTCACAACAATAATAATTTTTTACCATGAAAATATTAGTAATCGAGTCCTAATTATATTTATTACGTGGGGTGAGTTGCCAGGTCACAATTATTGCTCGATCACATTATGTCGTCATGAAGATCTTAAGTTACTGTAATGGAGTTGGGATTGTTTTTTTCTGTTTATTGAATCTGTACAGCGCCTCGCCAGTCTTAGTGTGTTTGTATAAATTATTATATTATAATTATGTTTGTAACGTACTGTACTTACTACTCTAATCTAATTATTAATTTACTCTAGTTATCACTAACATAATAATTATTTACATTTATTACTGTAGCATAGTTATTTCTCTTGCGTAATAAATACCCTGCCATAGTTATTATCATCGTGACTATTACTCTGACCTGATTACGACTTTATCTTAATTATTTCTCATTCATTCGACGTGTTCGTGGAGTTGCTGTGGCCTGAGGAGAAAGTTGCATGTATAGATAGAGAGATGAGGGGTCAGTCCCTGGTCCAGTGTGGTAGAGGAGCAGGCAATATAACGCTACACAATACTGTTTACTTCACACTTATTATACTCGTTATTGTGTCTCGAGTCTTGTATCTTATCTGTCTCACACAATACTGTTTACTTCACACTTATTATACTCGTTATTGTGTCTATTGTGTCGAGTCTGTATCTTATCTGACTCACACAATACTGTTTATTTCTACACTTATTATACTCGTTATTGTGTCTCGAGTCTTATCTGTGTTTACTTCACACTTATTATACTCGTTATTGTGTCTCGAGTCTTGTATCTTATCTGTCTCACACAATACTGTTTACTTCACACTTATTATACTCGTTATTGTGTCTCGAGTCTTGTATCTTATCTGACTCACACAATACTGTTTACTTCACACTTCAGCCATCAATCTTGGAAACTGATGGCTATGTTGTCATTGTACTTGGGGTGGAAATTTCCATCCTATACAGTTTGACTTTACCTTTCGCGAGCTCCTTATCTATCAAAGGGATTTAATTGACTGTTTATCGTCAGCTACAGCCCCGTCAACTTACGTATGTTTTGCATGGTGATATCTCGTCAGTCGGGGGAATATATGTGATTTCCTTCCCCCCCCGAATGAATGTTTACTACTATACTGGGTGCGCTTTGATGGTCCGTAATAGTGGTAAGTAAACACGGGTTTGTTGTGGGGAATATGCTGGCGTGGTAATTATTTGGTAATTGCCGTTAATGGATTTTCTTTTCGTCGTATAGAGAGAGAAGGGAAAGGGCGTAAGAAGATGGGGGATGGGGAAAGGGGAAAGGTAGAAAGGAAATGTGAAGGGGAAAAGGAGAGGGGAGAGACGTCAAAGAGAAAGATTTTTTGTAACTTATTTTTCAAGCCTTTGTTTTTGTTTCAGCTTAAAAACAATGATCAAAAGCTATTGATTTTCAACAACAGAGGTCAATATTGCCTGTGTGTGTGTGTGTGTGTGTGTGTGTGTGTGTGTGTATGTGTGTGTATGTGTGTGTGTGTGTGTTTTCATAATGTTTACAAACGAAGGGTATTATTGATTTAAGTGTGATTTGATTTCGTAATGACATCGAACATCATATTTGTGTATCAGTCCGGTAGGTAAATATTCACATTTATCTGACCGAGATATATTGTAATCTGTCTCAGGCTCACGGTCAAGTGTTATTTACCCGTGTGTAGAGGAACAGAGACGCTGGGAGGGGCTGATGATATGACGAAAATCAGATTGTGGGCGGCACATGGATACAGTGTAGTAGTCAAGGTAATGACTAGCACTCCCAGGCGCCCTTAACTCATTGATTACGATGACGTTAACCACTTGAGTATGATGATTTTAACTCCTTGTTTACGATGATTTTAACTCCTTGTTTACGATGATTTTAACCCCTTGAGTACGATGACCTTAACCCCTTGAGTACGATGTTCTTTAACCCGTTGAGTACGATGATCTTTAACCTCTCAACCTCCTTAATTCATCCATGCTCTTCAATTTTGCGAAGCGCTGAGGAAATCGAAATGAATATTAAGTTATGTCAATTGAAATTAGAATAATACAGTACTGTAATAATAACGGTAAAAGCAAAACAGCAGAAGAGTTTAGTGTGATCATGACAGTACCGTTGTTGTTGGTGTGAGTCTGACTGTTGTTGGTGCTGGAGGAACGGTGTGTGGTCTCTCCCTCCAGCCTCTTCCCGCTCTCCTCCTGCCACTCCCCGCCCTCTTGCAGCGCCTCCCTCACCTCTCTTAGCACCGTCCTCCTTGTCAAATCCTCCTGACACAGTCTCCCGTCTCGCCTGTGGACAGTGGTGTGAGGTTGTGGCATGACTCGTGTATGATTTGTCCCCAGCGAATGTTTACCAAGTTTTGTTCATTGATTGATGTATGTTGCGGGGGTATATCCCGAGGGAAGGAAGTACATATATGATGACGAGGAAGGGAAGGAAGGATGTGTGAGGGAGGGAAGGAAGTGTGAGGGAAGGGAAGGAAGTGTGAGGGAAGGGAGGAAGTGTGAGGGAAGGAAGGAAGTGTGAGGGGAGGGAAGGAAGTGCGAGGGAGGGAAGGAAGTGCGAAGGAAGGAGGAAGGGCAGGAGGAAGTGAGGGAGGGAGTGAGGGAAAGGAGGAAAAGTGAGGGGAGGGAAGGAAGAGGAGAGGGAGGGAAGGAAGTAAGGAAGGGAGGAAATGAGGAAGGAGGAAGGCAAGGGAGGGAAGGAAGGAGGGGAAGGGAGGAAGTGGAGGAAGGAGGAAGTGGAGGGAAGGGAGGAAGGGCAGATGAGGGAAGGAAGGGTGAGGGAAGGAAGAAAGTGTGAGAAGGAAGGAAGATGAGGGAAGGGAGGAAGTGTGGAGGGAAGGAGGAAGTGTGAGGGAAGGAAGGAAGTGGAGGGAAGGAGGAGGTGGAAGGGAAGGAAGGAGAGGGAAGGAAGTGTGGAAGGGAAGGGGAGGAAGTGTGGAGGAGGGAGGAAGTGGAAGGGAAGGAAGGAGGGAAGGAGGAAGTGTGGAGGAGGGAGGAAGTGTGAGGGAGAAGGAAGGTGAGGGAAGGAAGGAAGTATGATGGAAGGAAGAAATGTGAGGGAAGGAAGGAAAGTGTAAGAGGAAGGGAAGGGAGAAAGTGTGAGGGAGGAAGGAAGTGTGAGGAAGGGAAAGTGTGAGGGGAAAGGAGAGGGGGGAAGGAAGGAAGTGTGTGAGAGGGAAGGGAGAAAAGAGGAAGTGGAGGGAAGGAAGGTGGAGGAGGAGAAAGTGAGGGAGTGGAGGAAGGAAGGAAGTGTGTGAGGGAGAGCAGGAAGGAAGTGGAGGAAGGAGGAAGTATGAGGGGGAAGAAAGTGTGAGGGAGGGAAGGAAGGAAGAGGGAAGGAAGAAGTGTGAGGGAAGGAGGAAGGGAGGGAAGAAAGTGTGAGGAAGGGAGGAAGTGTGAGGGAGGGAAGAAAGTGTGAGGGAAGGGAGGAAGTTTGAGGAAAGGGAGGAAGTGTGAGGGAGGGAAGAAAGTGTGAGGGAAGGAAGTAAGTATGAGGGAAGGGAGGAAGTGTGAGGGAGGGAAGAAAGTGTGAGGAAAGGGAGGAAGTGTGAGGGAAGGAAGGAAGTATTCATGCACATATAATACGATAACTTGACGTAATACCTCTCAAGATCAAATACAATTAAACCCAAATTATGACCCTGATCTTGTTGTAACTTCAGTAGTCCTAGAGGTCTCCCCACCTCCTGTACTGAGTGGGTGGTGCCTCCCCTTTGTCTTACTGAAATAAACTCCAGAATTCAGGGTATGTGAAAGGTTTGTTATCAGATGGTTTAATTTATAATCCTGTAATTCTGTGTTTTGGATCTCGAATTTATCTCTTGAAAAACAATGTTAATGATAGGCCCTTCAGTATTACTAAAGTTTCTATTAGTTTCTATTACAGTGGGTAGAAGGGCAGTGTACTGATGTCAACAATTAGGAAATACTCAGGTGGATTTACATTTGACTAACCCATTTCTTATCAACTCAGAGATAAGACGCTACAACAATCTTATACACAAAAGCCAGAACCATCACGCGACGGGCTCTACGATCACAATTTACCAGTTAGCTTTCGGGTCTTATCGTCAGGGGGGAAGAGCCAACCAATCAGGAGCAAGAGGAGATAGCCAATCAGGAGAGAGTTAGGCTATGGGCCATTTGAGTCCCCTCAGCTGGTTCATAACTTGCCATTTGTGCAGATTACCACAAGTGTAAGGGCAGGCTAGGGACTACGCGCTGCCGCTGATTGAAACCATACATCTCGTTGTCTTCTGATGCAAGGAGAAAAGGTGGTCGGTGGTGACACACACACACTCACACACACACACACACACACACACACACACGAACGAAAAAAATATTACTCGGAAAAGAAAATGCGTATAGAATATAAAATTTTCCTCAGTGCAACAAATACTCCTAAAAAGATTGCATTCCACAGTATCATTTCCCGAGTATTGATAGAGACTGAGACATGAGTGTAGTGTTGTGAACGAGAGGGAAGGTGTGAAATGCGAGAGTAAGGTTGGGTAAGTTTACATTCTGCCTCCCTTTGTGTTCTTGGCGAGTTTTCATGACTGTGATCGTGTCGTAAGGGAGGGAAAGTGGGAGAGGTAGATTGAGAAGTAGAGAGATAGGATGAGACAAAGTAAGGAAGAGAGAAGGAGAGAGGATGGGACAAACAGAGGCTGAGGGAGTGAGTAGTCGACTAAATTGTGTGTGTGAGAGAGAGAGAGAGAGAGAGAGAGAGAGAGAGAGAGAGAGAGAGCCTGTCATCATACATGCCATTACATTCTGGTGGTCGAAGTCACATTTCACGGAGGCGAACAATTATCGAAAAACAATAATTAATTTTTTGTTTGTTATTCCGAATGATTTCTCTCATCAATGATTTTTGGGGGTTGCCTTCTTGTTTGCCTTTCATGACAAAAATCTTCACTTATTTTTCATTTTACTTGGGGGGGGGGGGTATATTTTTGTTTTCTTCAAATATATCAATTAAGGAAGCTGATTTTTTACACACTTTCTTAACATTGACATTATATAACAAAGGTCTTGCCGTTAATTAAAACAAGTTTATTATATATCAGAAAGATGATAAGAAAAATACATCTTTAATGATTCTTTAATAAAAAAGTTTTGTCTGGTACAGAAAGTCATGATGATGTGAACAGTGGCTAATGACTCAGGGCTGTTGAAGTATTCGACGTAAATAATTAAAACAAAACTAATATACTCGGTTATTTTGTTGAATTTAAGGACCTGTGCTCTTACAGGTAATGGGAGGTAGTTTAGGGTGCTTGCAAAAATTTAATTTATTGAGTGTTTGATGATTGAAGGTATATTTAGAAATATGAGAATTTTAAGTATTTGTGAAATTATGAATTGAAGAGCTCCAGGAACTTAGAGGGTCTTAAGGTACCAAGAACTTAAAGATTTAGGAACATTAGAATTTGCGGACCAAGAAAGTTAAGAATTTGGCGAATTCATGAGTGTAAGAATTTCCTGATTTAAAAACTAAAAAATTATTTGATTTAAATACAACGTAATTTAAGGAATTAAAGGACTTACGAAGATGAAAGATTACGAACGCGAAAATCTTCTGAATTACAGCGGTTTGAGGATTATAAAATTTTGAGATATTAACTTTCGGACAAATAGAATTTTAGGTTACTGGTTCTTTTGGTTTTAAGAATTTTGTTTTTAAGTTTCGTTTTAAAAATTCTTGGGACTTTTGGACTTAAATATGGAGGAGGAACCTAACGTCAATTGGTACTGATGGACTTAAGACAATCAGAAGTACTAGAGAACTTAAGGGACTTGATGATAAGAGGTGTTGATTAGGTTGAACTTCAAGACTTTTTAGGTGCTGAAAGAACTTGACTGACACACAAACCGATGGACTTTTAATTTTATTTTTTATTTTTTTTTAGGAATTGAAAACTTAAAAATCATGTGTGTGTGTGTGTGTGTGTGTGTGTGTGTGTGTGTGTGTGTGTGTGTAAGTAAGACTTGCTGAAGTAATGTAAGGCTAATTTTTTAAGACTTATTAAAGAACTCTAACTCTGGTTTTGATACTTACTGGATTACTGTAAGACTAATTTTAAGACTAGTTATAAAGACTTGGTTATGTACTTTATGGCTGTGGTTTCAAGACTTGCTTAACTACTTTGAGTTGTGGTTTTTAAGACTTGAAGTTTTTAAGACTTGAAGAAATACTTATAAACTTTATAGGTTTAAGACGTATAAATACTTATAGTTTTTAAAAATATTAGACTTAACATATACGAGTATACTTATCAGCCTTACTTTAAAATTTCTTATCACTCATACGGCTTTAGTTCTGTTGACTGACCCTGAACGACGTAGGGTAGCTGGCTTGTCCCTAAATAGGTCCTTCTCGTGGTCGTACTCAGCCCTCAAGGTCCACTCCAGGCTGTCTCTCGCCCGTTCTTCCTCATGGGCGTGGTTGTGGGGGTTGCCGTGGGTTTTGGCGTGGGCGGCTGAAGAATGGGTGGGCGTGAGGTACAGGCGTTGCCATGGGCGTCGGCGAGGAGGCCACACAACCAAAGGAATCTGGTTGACAAGGGCGTCGTGGGTTAATGGCAGTGGTCATGATCGGCTGTTGTGTTGCGGATTATTTGTCGTTGTGGGGGAGGGTGGAGACTATGGTGTGTGGGGGAGGTGAGACTGTGGTGTGTGGGGGAGGTGGAGACTGGTGTGTGTGTGAGGGGATGGTGGTGGAGACTGTGGTGTGTGGGAGGTGGGAGACTGTGGTGTGTGGGGTGGTGGAGACTGTGGTGATGTGTGGAGACTGTGGTGGGACTGTGGGGACTGGGGGTGTGTGGGTGGGGAGGGTGGAGACTGTGGTGTGTGGGGGGAGGTGGAGACTGTGGTGTGTGGGGGAGGTGGAGACTGTGGTGGGAGGGTGGAGACTATGTAGGAGTGGTGGACTATGGTGTGGGGAGGTGGAGACTGTGTGTGTGGGGGGGAGGGTGTGGTGTGTGGGGAGGGGAGACTGTGGGGAGGGGTGGAGACTGTGGTGTGGACTGAGGGAGTGTGGGAGACAGGTGTGTGGGGGAGACTGTGGGTGGGGAGGGTGACTGTGGTGGGGGAGGCAGACGTGGAGGGGATGGTGTGGAGGTGATGGAGACTGTGGTGTGGTGGGAGGGGGTGGAGGTGTGGGGAGGGGTGGAGACTGTGGTGTGTGGGGGATGTGGAGACTGTGGTGTGTGGGAGGGTGAGACTGTGGTGTGTGGGGAAGGGAAACTGTGGCGTGGAGGGGGGTGGAGACTGTGTGGGGGGGTGAGACTGTGGTGTGTTGGGGAGGGTGGAGACTGTGGTGTGTGGGGGAGGGTGGAGACCGTGGTGTGTGTGTGGGAGGGTGGAGACTGTGGTGTGTGGTCTAGGAGATAATTTGGTTTCTGGGGCAAGAGCGGGAGGTAACGATGTCCAATTCATACGAGACAAGGCCATTGGGTGTATACAAATAGCCATCACGTACCTTCCTCTGTAACAACGTAACGCGCTGACTGTTTATATTGTGTAAAAAAATCCGCTTACTATATATTTTAGGATCACCTGAAGATTTGCTTATTACACCTAACCTAACCTAACCTAACCTAACCAAATCCGCTTATTATTTATTTTAGGATCACCTGAAGATTTGCTTATTACACCTGAACCTAACCTAACCTAACCCCCCTGGTAGCAATAGGGTGGTTAATCTTCAGGTGAAATAAGCTGTGGGATGAATCTTCAGGTGACCCAATTGTTTTTAACTTCTGTCATTAGTTTTTTGAATTCATTGTGTTTGTTTATATTTATGTTTTGACCATGGGGGGGCAGGGGAGTGTCACAAGGTGTAGTGTCGTGTGGATGGTAGTTTTTGATGTTGTAAACACTCACTGGTGACGTCGTTCCAGCGTGTAGGGATATTGTGTCATGTATTGATCGACACTGTTATCAGACCGGAAGCAAAAGATTGAACGATTTTGTTTTTTGTCGTGTGTGTGTGTGTGTGTGTGTGTGTGTGTGAGACTTACCTCGTACTGTGCGGGCTCCATCACTTTCTTGGGCCGCCCCGTACACCGTCCGCCCTCACACCCACCATCCTGTATTGGGAAGGAACCACTGCGGCGTTAAAAGTGTCAGTCACGCCACGAAGGGAGCTAAAACACGGGGCTGTTACCCTGGACTCTAAGGACCTGATGGTAAGGTTAGAGACTTATGCTCCTGGTACTGACGCTGAGGGCTAACAATCAGGGAATGGAAAGGCGTAATTTTGAAGTCTTGGGCTGGCTGGGGTGTTAAGCCTCGTACACACCAAGATACATTGTCTAGAAACAGTCGCGCAACAATCTATCTCAGTGTGTACGAGGCCTTAGGGACTAGTTTTTTTGGTGATGATTGGCTTTAATTTAAGGGCCTAGTTAGTAGAGATTGTGAGATCTGGCTACAAAAATACCGGGAGACAGAGGGAAGGTCCTGTATATAGTAACACAAAGAAAGTTTCACGGGCGAAGGAGTGGACAGAGATGCTTTTGTTAGGGAGAATCATAATTGTTTATTTACAAATATCGGAACTAACACAAGTGGTCTGGATGAGAGAGATGTTCAAATGTAATTCAGAAGTTTATTAAAGTCGTCAGTGGTATTTTTGCATGTGATTTATGGGGTATTTGAAATATAAAACATTATCCAACACTTGAAGAATGTTAAGGAGAATGTACAGTCGCTTAAACAACTGTCTGTGCAGGTTGGGGGTCGATATACTCCGAAGTTTTACGTGTGACTAGTGACAGCCCTCATATTTATGCACAGATAGTTGTTTTAGCTACTGTACGTTCATTCTTGCGTTCATATGAATATTATGGTGTAGTGGTGACCTACTTTGCCTTGTCTTCATAAAAATAAAGTTGATTATCTTTTTGGCAAACAATCATCTAGCTAGTTAAATGTCTTTATAGTATTTTCAACCGTTTCTTTTTACTGTAGATGATTGTGTGTGTGTGTGTGTGTGTGTGTGTGTGTGTGTTTGTGTGAACAAACTATTTCAATAAATGGTTGGACCAAATTGAATGACTGTTGGGCGATGGGATGAATGTCAAGGCCACAGCTGAAGGTCAGAAGCCGTGACTTGACGAGAGAGAGAGAGAGAGAGAGATTAAATATAAATTCCTATCTTACGTGAGAAACAGTGAAGGATCATATTTGACACCTAACACATATTCACTGTTGATGCCTTATGATTTTCTAAACGTTTGTTTATAATTTCAGGTTGATACGATGGCTGGGAGCAGAGAAACGACACATACGGACAAGAAACTGCGAAAAACGTGAAAACGAACCGTATTTTGACCATGGCTGATGCGGCCCCGCAGGACTGGTCGTCATGACTGGGGTAAGTGGCGACATCTGCAGCGTGGAGCACTTGGATTCAGATCTAAAGTGGATCCTTTATCTGAATCCTCTTAATTATATCCAAATTATTTTCGAATCTGACGACGTCCCACTTTACGAGTATCATGTAGACTTGTAATTTGATTGTTTGAGTAGTGTGTTTTAACCTCTCTGATTACTATGTCATCTTACTCAAGGGAATGTACCATCGTATTGAAAGGGTTAAGACAGTGCTCAAGGGGTTAAGTCGTCGTTATCAAGGGGTTAAAACATGGTAATGGAGGGGTCTAAATTCGTCGTTATCAGGTGGGTAAGACATGATAATGGAGGGGTCTAAATCGTCGTTATCAAGGAGTTAAGATATCTAACTCAGGGGCTAATTCATTGTACTCGGGGTTGCCATCTTACTCTATGGGTTAAGACATCAGACTCAAAAAGATGTCATTATATTCAAGGGGTTAAGACATCGGACTCGAGAGGCTAAGTTTAATTATCGTACGCAATGTTTAAGCCATCGTACACACAAATGGTTCAGTCATCGTACACAGATGTTAAGTCATCGTCAGTGTCTGAATTTAACATTTATTAAAGAAACATTTTAAGGAAATATAATGTTAAAGAAAGTGAAAAGGAGGAGAAATTTGTTCATAGGAAAACAAGAAAATAACGAGTGTAGTAAGAAATAAGAGAAATTACATTGTACCAGGCAAGTGTGTTGATGAAAAGTTATCAATGTTGTAAACATTATCTGAGGAAGAGGAGGAGGAAGAGGAGAAGGAGTAGCAGGAGGAGGAAGAGGAAGAGGTGGAGGAGCAGGAAGAATCAGTGGTGTCCCTTCGTGTAGTGACGTCAGGACCTAGCTGGGTCACCTGCCTCGCCCACATTAACCTGGAGAGTGACAGTTTCTGTGTTTCTCATTCTGTTTCATAGAATTTCGTCAAACGATATTTTTGTGTAGTCCGGCACTATGTACAAATATAATTACCTGTAACATGTGACGCTGGACGGCGTGATCCAGCCATCAAAGTAAATTCCTATTTAATTTTTCCACGCTCAGCTCTGCTACACATTTTATGGGCCACCCAGCAATAGCCGGAGGTGCAGTTATGTATGTATGCAATTTAAAGGTCTCTGACACGATAACTCATCCATCATTAGTCCACCTCTGGTATCAAAATATATAAAGTTGATACACAACATTTTTTTCATATTGCCAGCGGCCCACACACACTGTTATGAATACAAACCGCCCAGTTTTATATAATGAAATACGTGTGTTGGGCCAGAAGTAGTAGTGTTAGGTTAAGAATAATATCACCCCAGGATGAGGAGAGTCACTTTTAGACACACAAATGCTTCCTAATTAATGATCAGCTTTTCTGCCCCTCTGAGTAACAGGTAAGTCATATCCTAACTGTTTTTTTTTTTACTAAGGTTTATTTAACTTACCCTGGGATATAAGTTAGGTTAGATTATATAACAGAATGAATCCCTGGGTAGTATCTCCCCTGGGCTAGTTTACACTCGGGGTACAACTTGGCTTAAATTAATATCTACCTGGTCAGAGGGCATAAACTGACCATTTACACCGACTTCAGTGTTCCTCGCCCTCACTTACATCAAGAGGCGAACACCGTAGCTTTTACTTACCTTAGGTTGTTTGTGAGCGCGGGCGTGGTGGGACGAGGACTGGTCTACATTATAGTGTGTTTTCGGTAAAATATTCGTACTTGCTTGGGATCTGAAGACTGATTCCTCTGTGTAAATTTCTCTGTTAGATTACGGAGTCGACTTCGGGTCTTCTTCCTTCCATCTTGATGTTATGAGTATTTCTAAACCAGGTTGGGTCACATATCTAACGAAGATGTCTATTATTTAAAAGATTTTGAAGGGTTTATTAGTACAGGTTTAACAGTAGGGTTAGTAGGGTTTAACAGTCCAGGTTTATTGTATTAACGACAGGTACGAGTAATGAACATACGGCGACTGCGTTTGTTCAGTGTTCTTATCTCCGTTTGTTCAGTGTTCTTATCTACATTTGTTCAGTGTTCTTATCTACGTTTGTTCAGTGTTCTTATCTACGTTTGTTCAGTGTTCTTATCTACGTTTGTTCAGTGTTCTTACCCACGTTTAAGTAGATTCCTTAAAACCTTCCATAAACCATCAGATTTACACATGCATACATACATACATACATACATGCATACATGCAACCTATAAATTCACGTGATAAAAATATTCACACACACACACACACACACACACACACACACACACACACACACACAGATACACACAGACAATTATTACCTTCATTGTAAATCCTCAAGAATGACTCAGCCACACGACTGTTAAACTAAAGCACTCGTAAAGTCCCCGACCAACTGGCCGAGCCTGTCTGTGTTGAATGTTTTCTGTGCACGTCAGGATAACATTATAGAATACTCACACACACACACACACACACACACACACACACACACACACACCTTTCTTTCTCTCTCTCTTTCTTTAGACATTTTACCCTTGTGTTTCCTTGTGAACTCTTTGCCAAATTCAACCATAACTAAACAAAATTACTATATCTCGTGTTTTAGTTAACTGTAGACGAGGAAAACTGCTGGATAAATATTATAATTGTCTTCCACTTTTTTTTACTCCGGAGGTGACGCCATAATTGGTGAGAGTTTAAGTTCCTGGCTGCCTCAGATGTGTCCGGAATTGGTCTAAGATGAATACATGATCAAAATTCTCCGTTACATTATCTTGTATCGTGTCCCTCAAGTCTTAGATGAAAAGCTTTTACTGTGGAGTCTTCGTCATCGTCTTGGTTATGATGATAGAATGGTTATTTTACTGTTCTGGGAGATTATTAGTCCAGGGTTCGAATCTTCATCTAGGAGGCTTGTAAAAATTCAACTGATTCACTGACATCTAGACCCCCCCAGATGGTTACTTTGGGCCATTGTTTACCTTCAGTTCTACCTTATTATCCTCACTATGAATACTGGGCAGGGTATTGTTTCGGTCCTGTGTGTCTGTCCCAAGAATGGTGATACAATGTTTTTCGGTCGTGAAAGAAAACGATGACGTAACGGTGTCCAGCGGTGACACCCATGAATTTATATAAACAGCGTCATTTAAGAGGAGGAAAACCAATAGTGTCACGCGCATGGTCAGCCGTGATCCTGTATAGTACGTGGTATATGTTGATCAAAGGCACACGTGGGTAGTATCTAATGCCTTTCATCCTCATTTTGATATTAGTATTTGAGTGACGGTTTCGATCCTCTTTGTTGAAGCACTGAATACTTTAACCCATTGACTGGTGTTAACGCATTGGCTGGAGAGATTTCAGTTTGTCGTAATCAAATGCAGAGTGTTAGTGTTGTGTGTGTTTAATTAGTTTCCGTTCAGTGGTTATAATCACAGTTGTTATGAAAGCAACGCTGTAGTGTTCATTTATTTGTTGAAATTAAAGAAAATTGTTTTTAATATAATCTTTTGGTTTTTTTGTCTGTTAACGCAATGGTTATTTATATTAATGACAATTTCTGAGGTAATTCTTTCTTTTCTCTGTTAAAGACATTATTTTGTTACTGAAATATAATAAATTTAAATTCTCTCTTTTCTCTTTGATAAAAATAATGCAAATATAAACTAAAGAAAATAACTAAAAATTAATCCTTTCTGCTTCCTCTTTTTTATTTGT